TACGCATGAGCAACTGCAGTTGAAGTGGGTGTAAAGTGATAGGTACTGCATGTTAACTAAGTGAATATCTCACAATTAAAAGTTAAACATTCTACAATCGTCACAGGCAGATCGTTCAAACGTGTTCCCAAAGTTAATCTTAGGTCGTACATGGGGTAGGTGAAGAAAGGTGGCAAGGAGTAGATATAACTTCTAAACAATTGTACACGAAACAACTTACCGATAATTCCGATTTCGAATTTATACGTGAGGAGAAGACCCAGCGGAAGACCAACAACGTAGTAACCCAAAAAAATTGTGACAGAACCCAAAAATTGCCGCCCGCATGCCAATAAAACGGCCTCTGAAACACCCTTAAGAAAAAAAGTGGGTTAAACTAAATGGCTTACTTTCAGATGCAGTAGAAAGGTGCCTATTCATTCAACTTACAGAGCGACAAGTAGATGAAATAAAGTACTGAAAACCTTCTAGAACTTTAGAGTCTCGGCATATGATATCGGCAAGATACTTATGCCAGTGATCGCGCTACAGCGTTCCATGGCCGATAGAACGGATTTTAGGATGCAATACGAATAAGAAAACATACTTGATTGAGTTTCACTGAATCTGAAGCTAAACTACCACCAAATGGCAACAACTGGCGGTGTTTTCTTAGCCATTGTTCCCAAAGTAAATCTAGTTTACCGTTAGTTTTGAAAGGAAGGGAAGAAAAATAGTTGTAACGACAGTGCCATTAGCCGCACCATTTTGTGGTTCAGAGGTAAAAATTTAGTCGCATTAGTTCAGACGAAAACTAAGGGATCGCTTTCAATCGAAAGTTCCGAATTAGTCAGGTGAACAGCAAATTTCACGGAGAAGCTGCATTAACAACGATGTCGGTGATTCGAGTCATTCAGCAAAATACAAATGAAAAAAAAAAGAAAACAGTGACCATGGGTGAAGCAACAAAATTCGATCACCTTGAAGAATTGGGGAAATGGAAATACGACAGATTTAAATGCTGATTGCCGTATAATTTAAGACATTAAATGAAACAGGCAAATGAAAACTGTTAATGCAACATAATAGTAAAGTTTGAACCACATCATAAATGATTTTTTTATTAAAAAGGGAGCAGACGTAGAGACTAAACATCAATTCTAATAAGGTGAACAGTCTGCGGGTAATCTGGTGTCGCATTTAAAACCGTTCATTTCGATCACTTACACCAAGACCCTCACAGAATTGAAAGATAAGGAGCATGGGAAATAGTTTTACAGCCTCCTCGATTACTTCCCTACAATGCAAAATGCATTTTTAGAAAAGATTAAATAAATTGGGTAAGTCAAAACAAACTAAATCACAAACAAGGCTACTGTAAAGGTAACATCTAAACCATACTTGCACATGAGTTCATCGAGAATGAATTTGAAGGATAGTGCAATATTGAAGCGCACAGAGACAAACTGGTCTAGCATCTTAATGTATCCAAACAAGATCAATTCATTCCTAGCCATGCGCCAGATGTCGATCAAAAAAATGAATGCAGTAAAAATATGACGCAATGAAAATAATAACACTGACTGGACAAGCCAGAGCTGCAGATATTTCCAAAAAGCTAATGAGCAAACTTATAACTAAGTGAAAACGCCCACCATAAATAATCAACTGGTTGCTGCTCCACTCAAAAATAGATCAACCATGAAAACTTTTCACTTCAGTCAGCGGACTAACGAAAACAAACCAACAAATCAAACGCTTCAGAACACAAAAATGGTTGTTGTAAATAGAGCTAAGCGCAACAAACAACAGAGAAGAGAACCTTGAGAGCCAGGGAATCAATTGAAAGAAGCTGCTGAATTGTGAATAGCTCAATGTTAAATATTTCAGTACACAGGTTAATGCCAATCGCAATCCATCAATGGAATACAAAATATGACCAGTACAAAATAGTGAAATCCTTGAGAACGCGCCGGCACGGTAACTCACCTGTCTGTCGTAAAGAGATACGGTATCTTATGGCGCAACAAGACGACAGGCACAGCAGTTGTAACGACTATCCCAACTATCAAAGGGTAATACAATAAACTCTTATCACGCTAAGAAGTAAAAAATAATGCGGAGTAACGGTGAAAAGAAAAGTAACGTTGAATTACAGATGTAGAGCTCGGAAGAAAGGCTAAGCCAAGAAACGACCAGCTGGACCTTGGATAAACCACAAACTTAAAAAAAACACCCGATCATCCTAATAGTGGAGAGGGTGCAATAGAGATGGCTTACACACTGAGAAAAGAGCAGTCATGTACGTATGTTGTGCTCTCTGTGGATCAAAGGCACCGAGGCCCTGCCCAACCCTCACATTCACTGCAGTGCAAATACCCAAAGGGACCTAAAAAGAGATTTGAGGTGATAAAAACTGAGAATAGCTACGTAGGATTAGTGTCAAGTTGGGGCGCTACATATTCTAAGCAAGCAACTTTGCACCGTAATACTCATAATTGAGTACAATTAAACTAGTAGTTCACGTAAGTGTACCGTGCCTGTATGGAGCATTTTGCAAGTTGGAGTTGACTTTGACATTAGATACGCTAATAAAATCAGAGACATGAACTTCAAGTATTAAGCCCGATCCGCCGGGATCCTGTTAAATGAATGAATGAATTACTTGCTAAAAGTAATGAGGTCTATATTCGGAAATCAACTAACGACAACCCAACGTTTTGACCACATTTTTTATGCCATCCAAGAAGGTTTCATTAACAAACTCCAGTGCTGGTTAGCAAGATTTGCTAACCAGACGAGCGCATATGAATGTGCAAAGAAGAACACCAAATGCAGTCACTAGCCTCTAAATTTTAGCGGATGAAAATACCGGACTGTGAATAAATCTATCATGTAAAAAGAGCTGGAGCAAATCGACTGAATTTATATTGAAACGAATAATACGAAAAAAAAATTGAGTAGAGTCTTGAAGTGTCAGAAAAAAGTATTTCGAAGTTAGCTTTCAAGTATGACAATTCTCACCATGTAAATAAATGATTGGATTTGAAAAACAATTGCTTGAGCTCCCAACACAGCATCACCCATTGTTCCTAGAACAAATTTGGAGTATGATTAATTTAAAACATTTTTCTAGCTATACGATCATGTGCTTCGCTTTGAGGAGATCCAAGTAAGAAGCGACAAAGACAAAGCACCACACATTCTTGTTTTCCTCAAATACACAAGAGATTTTCTGGATTAAAATGGCACGAGGATACGTAAAGTCGAGGGAAAACCCATTGAAAACACCCATTAACCGAGCCATACATAAAGCAGGCCAGTGAAGTCCAAATATCACAATAGAGCATTAAAAAGGGCGCAGAAATGAGACAAACGGATTTCAAGAACAGAAAATCTCCGTAATGTACGAGTTGATAGCATTTTTCAGTGAGCGCAGAAAAACAATTGAGCATTCTAAAGACAATCAGTTGTACCTAGCTTATTAGGGAAGAGAAAAAGTACAATTAATAAGGAAATCCAAGACTTGACGATTACCAGAACCTAGCCAAGTATGACAAATCCCCTGCTAAAATTGTTTATCACAATGAAAGACTGGGTATATTAACCGCACTTGGGGAAAAAATACACCGCATGTATTACTAGTAAGCTTGGACGAATTTTCAAAGAATGAAATACTAGAAACGTAAGAGACCTATTCTTGGTAACTGGAAACGCTAACTGTTAAAAAGGACAGTTTGGGCATCAGAAAGTTACAACTCAGTTCTCCAATTGGTTATCAAAAACGCGCAATCACAAATGAGAAGACGACTGGTGATAGCTTAGATGAAGCTTGCCTGCGACGAAGGTGCTGAGTTCAAGGCACCATTCTTCAAACCCAATCATAAAAATCCCCGGTATGCCAAGTTTGAAGAAAATTCCCCATTCAGACATCGCAGCAGCGAAATCCCAGCCTGAAAAACGAAAAGGAGGAGACGGAAATCCCATTCCTCAAAATGAGACGGGAAGATATGCGACATCTTAAATTACTAAAGAGAAGAAATGCTAGAAATTTCGGCAGGATTAGCACGGCGCCTCTACTGTGCCATTAAGCCGAAAAAGCCGTGAACATACAGTGATTGCGCGTAGAAAACACGGCCTGTTCATAGCAAAACGTTGATAGCGTTGATGAAAAATATATACTGTGGGAGACATATTTACTTGTCCATCAGCGCTCGAATGTTTTTGGGTTGGTTCAAATACGTGCAAAACATTTGGATGCCCAACTCTTGAAAAAGTAGAGGCCAAAGATGCTAAACGGTGGCCGCAACTACATGAATTCGGAGAAGCATTACAGTAAAGCCGAAATAGAAACTTAAAGGTAACCAAACATTCAAACGTACCGACCCAAGTTTCAGAATACACACGATACAAGAAGATGTATAGAACTTCACATGAGAGCATTACAGCAAAGGAAAGGGAAAGAAAGCACGCGGAGGCCCTAAAAAGACGTACGATTGTTTTACACATCACTGTCTGTAATAACAGGTAGCATCAATTACAATGTTCAACGCGGCATCCTTGAACGTAGTTTCTTCGATTAGGGAACGCAAAAAAATAACTAAGACCGACACAACCAAATAATAATCGCTTTTAAGGAATCGCAAAAAGGAAAAACTACTTAAGCCTCGTGCAAGCAAAACATAATTGTTTTCAAATTAGAGTATACAGAACTGCTCTGGTAGCCTTATTTATTCAAACTAACCTTCAGAAGTGAAACTTCTGGCAATAATATTTTAAGACGAATTAACCTAACCAATGCTCAGAATTCTGCGCCAACAAAAACCGCACAAGCAAAAGTTGGTGAACCTTGAAGTGGCGACATAGCAAAGTGCGAATTTGGTTGCATCACGACAGCACACAGCATGCGCCAATGCCCACCTGAGTCCAAGGCCCAGCCTGTAAACCGCCGGTTGAGTTAAAGTCGTAAAAATTGTTCCTGCACAGGCAGCGATCATCATGGGTCGAACGAGGTTTTGGCTCGTCAAGTACCGCGAGAGAGTCATGAACAAAAAATCGCACTAAAAAAATGAGAGTTCGAGCTCAAGAAATTTTAGCACTTGCTGTGTAAGATGAAAAGATTGATTCCATCAAATCACGTCGGGATTCAAATTCGTAATTTACGGAATGAAATACAAATCCTTATGGCAAAGTAGAACTCATCTCAGTAGTAATTAAACTGCAATGATAGAATGTTTGAGTTGAGACAGTGCTCTCCCCGCCAATAGAGCAAAGCAAACACCAGAGCGGCCACAAACAAAAACAGAACATCGATTTCGGAGATTCAGTATGTTCATTTTGCTAGCCCTGCACCATATGCATGTGACACTGCCTAGTACGTGCAGATCCCGCTTGGATACATTTGGACTTCTGTAACTTTAGGGATCACGAGGGAAAGGGGAGGGAAGGAAGCTTAACAGGCATAAATGATTCTGCATTACTTTTCAGATGGCTTAGATATGAACAATTTGAGACTTACATAGAGACCAGGGAGAAAGAATAGAATGTATTCAGAAGCCAACCTAAAATAGGCAATCCCGTGACTATTTGACTCTGATTCAGTATTTAAATGCTACTGTCGATTCAGCTGTCCCTTAATTTCTACAATGATACTTTGAACCAAATTCTAATTACATTTGATGTTTCCTCGACATTTGAAGAGGTAGACGTATTTAACAACGACAAAGGCTTCACACCTACGGTTAAGAAGAATGTCTACTGCTTTAAGAAGAGATTAAATAAAGAGCAATTCACTACCGAACGGCGGTATGGTTGCGTAACTGAAAATTACTACCAAGTTGAGATGTGCTATACTGCGCGGCTGGTTCCACGCAGACTAATAAATGCCCGCAGAAATAAGAAAACAAAGGTTTCTTACGATGATATGAGAGGATCCTGTCTAGCCGCCAGTAGCAAAGCCTCAATATTGACGTGAACGCATGCCAGTGTGATGAATATCAACGTCATTATGACTAAAGCTAAATAGAAGATGTCGGAAAGTCGTTTAAACAAAATGCTGATAGCATGGGTACTTCCCACACCTTCCAATGCTGCATAAGCAATGCAATAAAAACTGTTCCTGTAACAGGAAATTAACATATGACGCTACAGCTTGACCATGCTTTTCCAATGGAGTACCAACAGGACACTAGTTTATGAAAGAATTGGTGTATAAAAATAGCCAACAGCTGTGCTTAAGAAGACCCACTAACTCAATTTGTGCTAAAAATTCTCGTCTACTGGAGGATATATGACAACGAAGGCGAACATTAGCTAATTATTCAAAAATTTGCCGAGAGACAATGGTTGAAATAAAAAAGAAAAACGCACCTCGTTGTAGAATGATTCCCATCAACTTTCGCCTTGAGCTGCCATAAGTCTAAAAGAAAATACAATTTCTGAACCCATAAGATGTGATTACGACGAGCAGGTAGTGAAAATGGTTGTGCGAATCCATTGATTACAGCTTGGTTGACAACAAAACCAAAGAGAAACTCGGAGGAACCAACTATTCATTGCATAGAATCTATTATTTAAAAGCGAACGATGACTGAGCACAAAAGTATAGATAGTGCTAAAAGAATTTAAGCAAGATAGCCTTAGGCATAATTGTTAAATAAACAAACCTGACTGAAGAGGGTTTCCGAGGCTGTTGAAAACCCCATGTCTATGCAAAGACCAAGCACGTTTATTACCTAATCGGACGTAAAAGCAACACCCATCAAAATTAATTCTGCATAGTTCTTGAGAAGTAGCAACAAAACCATCACCTGATCCAAAAACGCACAGCTATTAGTAAAAACGAACATCTCATGACGAAAAACATGTGTCCACTTGCACTAAACAAAGCTTATCCTAAAGCAGCCTAGCAGTTAGAAATCTCGTACTGCCTATGTAAATTAACATGAGGGTCACTAGAAGAGATTGAAGGAGCCCCGCTGGCAATAAAGCTGTAGGCTTTTGGAATTTCCAGATAAACTGTTCACGTACAATGCGCTTACAGTGCTGGCCAAAGAGGCCGCATCTAGCTCCTCTCGGCTGAAGTGCCCGCAGATGACAATGCTTAAGAATGGACAAATAAATCGAAGGAAGTGTGTCAGCATCTAAAACGTGAGAAATGTTAAATCATTCCTACAGACAATTTCCGTACGCAGCAGAAAATATAAACAACTAACACCCCAAAATCATCTTAAAAAAGGTTCATCATCTAACGCAAGAAAAACCAGAGCAGGACATTCCAGGACGAGCTGTGTGGCAATAAAACTAAATTCCATGGTTCAAAATGAATGAGTTGCCGACATAAAAGCCGCTATAGATATGCAAAGCAAACGACAAACATATAAGCCAATTTATCCTACCAAAGGACACGCGAGTGTTATTAATTTGCGCAATTCTTCGATGACACTACGAGACGCCGATGGCATATGCATAAGTCTAAAACAATGCGAGCAGAGGAGAACTACAAGGAAATGGGAAAATAATCACCTACAGAGATAAAACGTACAGCTGACAGAGAACGATATAAAGAAAAAATGAAGCAACAGTGGTAAAATGATATGAGACGCAAAGTATAAATCAAGCGCATCGGACAAAACGAAAGATTCAAATGGATTATCTACGGGTCGGTATGTCCAAGAAAAAATTATTTCATCGAATTCACGTAGGGCAACAATTAACACCACAAGCGAAAACGATAAAGCGGTCAAAGCGTACAAGTTTGCACACAAGTTACAAACCATTTAAAAGAAAACATGCTTACTTGTTGCTCTATATTTGAGATCCAAATTTCTGTAGCAACTGAGTCCTAATAAGCTTAGCACAAATACCGAATATTTAACAAAATTAAGACAGTCCCTCGCAAAAATATTTCTATCAAAAAATTTATAGAAACGAGTTTTACTCTAATTGAAAAATCCTAAGCATATAAGTGTTTAAAAAGACAAAAAACAATTAAATTTACAGAAATTGCAGCAATTTGATTTTCTTGAACATTGTTAATTTTTG